TAGCTGAAGCAATCTCTGAGCTAGGGAATCCAAACTCCAGAGAACAAGGTTTCCATGGGATGGGTGCTGATAAGAGGGGTCAATTTCAACTGCTCTTAAAGGTACATTTCTTCATGCTCTCATGGTTGCCAAGCCCAGCCATCCATGTCAATTCTGTCTTGAGAGACACTTGCTCCTTGTAAGATCATCAGGCATGTTAAAAGTGTAAAAATTTGATACTGACCTCATTTTTTTTAATCTAATTATAATTCCCATGGCCTTAGCTGCATTGCCTATTTGGAAAGTGCTATGAGCTACAGTTCTACCCAGAACTGAAAGATCCAAAGTAAGGGGATATTTGTGTTACCCCTTTAAAATTTATGTGTTCTTAATATTTCTTCTCATTGAATTAAGGCAGCAGTTTGCCCACTTCATCTTGTCCATTTGAAATGCATGTTTGAGCACCTTTTTAAGAATCCTTAAAAAAAAAACTTGAAAATATTGTATTGTATTGTTTTGAGGTACCCACAGCAACTTTCAGCAAATTTAATTTAATGTATATCACAGAAGTGAACAGAAGAAGGAGAATGGGTAGTGCTTAAAGTCTTTAAGGTTTTATACATCTTGTCTTTTACAGGTAACAGGGTAAAACCCAATGAAAATTCCATAGAAGTCAGGAAGATCTGAATAAACTTTAAAAATAAAAACAGTGACCATTAATTGAATAACTGCTATATGCCTGTGACTAGGCCAAGCACACGAAGACATTATCCTACTAGATCTTGATAAAAACCCCCTGTGAAATTATAACCCCCATTTTATAGAAAATTCAACCGAGAGAGAATTAAGTAATATCTATGACAGAGTTAGTAGGAACAATAGAAAGCTTTCAAACTCAAGTCTTTCCCCAAAGCTCATGATTTTAACTCTAAAACCTAGACTGCAAAATATAAGGAAAATTATTCCCAAGAGTATTTTTTCAAAAAGATTTTCATTTGGGGAATTTTCTGATCCCATTTCTTTAGCTAAGTCCAAGGTTTTGACATGAAACCCTGGTACAAAATATCTGACATTCTAGACACTCTTGTTTCTCTTTTATGAAGTTTAATTAGTGGGTCATTGTCATCCTCCCCTCCTGCTCCTCCTCTTCTTTCATTCTTACATTCTTACATTCTGAAGGTAGGTGACTAGATGAAGTAATAGGCCAAAAACCTTTTTGTGCCTTTTTCATTTTTAAGAGTTTACAAATTTACCCTGCATTTTATTAACTTTCACTGTTACATACCTTCACTGTCAAACTGAATAACTGACAAAAGAATTTTCTGTTAAGATCAGAATTTACAGTTTCTCAATTGAGTCTAAGCTATGCTTAACTGTGGTATAACTGCATATGTCTGGTAGATTGAGAAGGACAGGCCAGAAGTATTTTTTGCATGGGGCAGAAAGAACTCTATGGGGAAAGAATCTACCTTAAGGGGACAACACATAATTCTGCACAATGAGAAAGCCTCTCCTAAGCTACGAGAGAGATGGGCAATTCAAAGTACAGTGTGATACTGTCATTCAAATTTATCCTCTGGCCGATCTGCTATAGGGCTAGAATTGAATCCAGAAATAGTAGGGCTGAGGTATAAGCCTAGAAAAATATTTTCCCTAAAAGCTCAATAAGATATTAGGATGCAAGACATATACACAATGAAGAGTATACTGACATCTCCAGATTATGTCCAGGTGTACAGAATCACTTTGAGATACTGAGAGGACATACATGTGAAGGCAGCAACAGGACCTGGTGCCCAGATGTAGAGATAGATCCCCCACCTGACGAAGGGGACCCCAAGTGTCTGGTGCTTATTACTTGGTAACAGCAGGAATTAGTGACAGTGGTAACAAGTGGTACCTACTGCTTTGGAAAATCACAGGACCCTTTGACACAGAAAGCAGACCCCTCACAGATGACACTCTCAACTGTGGCACCAGTGGGACACTTCTTGAATATATGTAGTGAGTTTCATTAAGCAGGGTCAGAGAAGAAGAGTAGGAGAGGAAAAAGGCACTAACGTGGGTGATTAAAAGCTGTTCCTCATTCATGTGGTAACCTACTTCCAACTAGAGACTTCCCCCACAACTAAGAGATGTTTTCAACAGGGCTAATGTGCTGATAAAAGTTGGCGAGGATGAGGAGAAAGGGGAACCCTCTTACACTGTTGGTGGGAATGCAAGCTGGTACAGCCACTCTGGAAAACAGTATGGAGGTTCCTCAAGATGTTAAAAATAGAGCTACCCTATGACCCAGCAACTGCACCACTAGGTATTTACCGCAAAGATGCAGATGTAGTGAAAAGAAGGGGCACTTGCACCTCAATGTTCATAGCAGCAATGTCCACAATAGCCAAATTATGGAAGGAGCTGAGATGTCCTTCAACAGATGAATGGATAAAGAATACATGGTTCATATATACAATGGAATATTACTCAGCCATCAGAAAGGATGAATACCTACCATTTGCATTGACATGGATGGAACTGGAGGGGATCATGCTAAGTGAAATAAGTCAAGCAGAGAAAGACAATTATCATATGGTTTCACTCATATGTGGAACATAAGGAATAGAGCAGAGGACCACAGGGGAAGGGAGGGAAAACTAAATGGGAAGAAATCAGACAGGGAGACAAACCATGAGAGACTCTGGACTCCAGGAAACAAACTGAAGGTTGCAGAAGGGAGGAGGGTGGGGGGGGATGGGGTAGCCAGGTGATGGGTATTAAGGAGGGCACATGTGGTGATGAGAACTGGGTGTTATACACAACTAATGAATCGTTGAACACTACATCAAAAACTAATGATGTACTGTATGTTGGCTAACCGAACATAATAAAAAAGTTGGTAGCTGTAAGGTCAGGAAATACTGTTGGTTTTTGTTATTTAGATCATGAAAATTATAAGAGCCTTTCTATAAAAATTATGAGTGTTGCTATAATACTAAAAGTTTCTACTGATTTTCAGTTTTGCAAATGAAACATAATAGGTCTGGGGTACATAATGGTGCCTCTCAAAACCCAGACTGATATATATTTGATATCTGTAGAATGAACATTACATAGTTTGTTAACAAAATAGCTTTTTCTCTTTTTCTATTCATGTGCTTTATTCAGATACATCTTATTAATTACATGTCTTTAGTTTTATTGCCTAGAATATTCAGTGTGAGGCCTAAGGTGTAAACTTTAAGGGGTCACTCCCTCAGAGGGTTATGCAAATGTCAACCTTGTGTTTACTGTCTTCACCCTAGCCCCAGCCCTGGAAGACATCCTTGTCATGCTCCTCATTTAATTGGAATGCTTTTGAAATTTTACCTTTAAGTATGATGTTTGTTCTAGGTTTTTGAAAGGGATTCATTATTCAATTAAGAAAAGTATCTTGCACTTTTAGTTTGCTATTAGATTTTTAAATCGGTAACAAATTTAAACAATTGCCTTTTCTGCATTATTTGAAATGCTCATTTTTTAAATAAAATCCATTATTATCAGTGTAGTATTCTACATTAATAGATGTCTATGATTTTGATTCATTGTTATAGTTTGATTCATTGCTATAAAACCCAATTCAAATACCACTTTTGATCTGTCAGCCAAAAGTAATGTATTCCTCCCTCCTCTAAATTGCAATAGCACTATATTTACCTTTTCTATATACTTTGGCACATTCTACCTTATATTATATCTAGATATGTGTATGTTGTCTCTTCTACTTCATTCTTCCTCATAATGCAAAGAATAATAGATTGGAAAACAGAAAAGTTGAGACGGATTCCAGGTCTACCACTTAAAAATATTCTAAGGCTCAATTTCCTTTTATATAAAATAAAGATCATAATGTATGCCTTGCCTGCCTTATAGAGTTTTTTAAAGTATCTAAATGAGATATATTGATCATGGTATCTGTAAATGTAGAAGGCTTCATATATATCACTGTTATTATTAATCATTAAGCTTGAAACTTTGCAAAAATTTTATTCAGTATTGGCTATACTTGGAGATAACTGTTACCTTGAAAAGTTCCCCAGATTTTTATTTTAACACAATCTTGAAATAAATATGCAACAGCAATAGTCATACTGAAAGATTATCAATTATCCTTTCATGTGCTACAAATCAGATTGCCTTGTGGCTCACCACACAGTCTATGAATGCCATAAATTCCCTGAAAGAGATGGCAGATACAACTAGCACAAAGGGACCGTTGTTCTACTCTAATTTCAAAGAGTATTTTATGAGATCTTAGAGAAAAAAATATGTTGGAAGGAAGAATGGACTTCTAAATACTAAAAATTTCCTACTACACAAACAAAACAAAGTTCTGGCATCATTAAATCACGGATATAGACAACTCAGGATATTCTGTAGGAAAATAAAATTTTAAAAAAGATTTCAGTTTCATGAGAAGAGGGGGACTGATTTAGGGAATAACCTATCAGTTAGTCATTGCTGTATAACAAACCATACCAAAACTTAAGTGGCTTACCCATTATTATTTATTATGACTCTATAGATTGAGTATGAAGTTATGCTGATCTGAGTTGCTCATGCATATGTGTCTGCAGTTAGCAAGGAGGTCTTCAGTGGCTGAAATGGGGTGATCTTGGCTGAGATGAATCACTTTGCTCCACATTACTTTTCATCATTCAGCATTTTATCTCAGGCTTGCTATCATGGTGAAGGCAGAAGACCAAACAGATAGAACTAAACTCTAAAACACCTCCAAAAGCCTAGGCTTGGGAATTTGCACAGCATCACTTCTGCCACCACATTCTATTGGTCAAAGCAAATCACTGGGCCAGCTCAAATTCAGAGTGGAGAGATAGACTCCACCTCTGGGTAGAACTGCACATTTACATTGCAATCGACATGAATACATGAAGATAAAGAGAATTGGGGGCATTTTTTGTGGTCTACATTCCCATCTATGGCAAAATCCTATAACAGATATATTGAAAAAGTCAAAAGCCAAGAGGGCTTACCCTTACTCTCATTTGGTATTGTGGAGAGTGACATCCACAGGGTTCCAATGTCCAGCAGGAAGTTGTAAGAGGAGCCTTGATTTAAATATTCAGCCCTCCCTTTGCTCCCACATGTACTGAGGTGAATGTAATTGGAAGTTTTTGCATCCCTGTGGGAGACAAGGAAGTGATAACTAAGTTGAGAGTAAAGACCCGCTATGCAATCATATAGCAAGGTGCAAGCTACAGAAGTTGGGGTTAAAAAATCTGTATAAGGATCAAATAGATAATGTTGCTTACGCACATCAAACTCTACAGCACTAAGAAATTAAATAAGAACTATGACCCAGCGGGCGCCTGGGTGGCTCAGATGGTTAAGCGTCTGCCTTCGGCTCAGGTCATGATCCCAGGGTAGTGGGATCGAGTCCCGCATCAGACTCCTTGCTCAGCAGGGAGTCTGCTTCTCCCTCTGTCTTTGCCTCTCCCCTTGCTTGTTCTCTCTCTGTCTCTCTCGCAAATTAATAAATAAAATCTTTAAAAAAAAAAAACTATGCCCCAGCAATTGCACTACTAGGTATTTACCCAAAAGATAAAAAATACTGATTTGAAGGGGCACATGCACCCCAATGTTAATAGCAGCATTATCAACAATAGCCAAATTACAGCAAGAGCCCAAATGTCCACCAACTGATGAATGGATAAAAGAGATGTGGTACACACACACACACAC